ACTATGAGAAATAAAGGAAAGGACCATTGCTAAAGTGTGACTTTCTCCATCTCATCACTGCCCGAAAGCCTACATCTCAGCGTCCACATGGAAACCACACAAGGAGTTCACAGGAGGGATGAGCAGCAGAGAGTGCTGAGGCCCAAGAGAAAGTCAACTGCTACTCAAAAGCACACTTGGGAACTGCCCGAGACAATCTCCCCAACCTCACCCCTTTCCAAATATAGCAGAAGAAAGCAAACCTGGGCTTGACTGAGGGGAAAGAGAGGCCAGGACCCATCTTTTAAGAACCGTTTGCCTGTGGCTATACAGAGTTCCTGAAAAGGACCCACGCAAACACTGGGTGAATGATTTCTAAACAGTGCTCAGGAACAGCTGCCTAAACCCAGAGCAATTGGGAAAATACCATCGAAAGCCTCACCAGAAATTGAATAAGCTATACAACAGAGCTATGAAATTCCAGACAGAGCAATAGCTCAGAAAATTAATAACCCATTACATTTAAATACATAGAGACAGTCTCTGGCTCCTACATACCCAGTCACTGCTTTTTTAAGTGAATTAGTGGCCTCTACTTACAAATCAATAGGAGCTCTGGTAGCATAGTGCCAAGGCACTTGACTGCTAACCAGGAGGCTGGCGATTCAAACCCACCAGCCACTCCTCGGAAGGAAGGTTGGGCAATCCTACTTCCATAGTGATAACTGCCTCGGAAACCCAAGGAGGGGTCGCTAGGATTGGGGCCGACTCGATGGCAAACAACAACAACAACAACTTACAAATCAAAAGCTTCATATTAAAATCCAGATTTCCACATTCTGTTTAAAAATCCTAAGATCTGATGATGCTGGGCCAGCCTTCTCTCTGCGAAACATGGGGGAATTGAGTACACCTCCGTCTGCATCCTACAATTCATGGGGACCCACCAAATCCCCACTGGCTCCCAGCCACAGAGACCCAACATGTGTTACCATTTGTCACTGAGCTTACACCATCACTCTGTGTATTATGCTTAAGAGGATTGGGCAGCAGGTAAACTCATTTTGGAAAAATAAATCCATCAAAAATGCTTAACTCATTTTTTAAGGTAATTGGACCACAGCCTTCAATTTTAAATATTTGACCTAGGACACAAAGGTATCTGCACTAAACACAGAAAAGTATAAATCCAAGGGCACTCACTGTATCATTGTTTGAAATAGCAACACACTGGAAGATCAGTAGGAGACTGGCTAAATAAATTATGGAATATCCACACAATAGAATACTGAACAGTTATTTAAAAAGGAAGGGAATAAAGTAAATCTATTATGTGCTACTCAGTACATTCTCCAAGGATGTATTTTAAGGAAAGAAGGAAAAGAAAAGAGAGAAATTTGAAGGACAAGATGTATAATGTAAAAAAAAAAAAAAAAAAAATTAAGGGGAAAACACATGTGAATGGAAAGGAAGCATCTAGAAGGATATAGAAGAAACCATTGATGGGGCTATATGGAGAGCAAGGAGATGCAGCCTTGAGAGGAATGGAGTTTTACTTTTCACTGTATAACTTTCTGTCCCTTTTTTGAAATCATAAGCATGTGCTATTTTTATAATGTAAAGCATATTTTAATAATTTAAAAGGAAAGCACACTGATGCTATAAGTAAAATTCCCATTCAGAGAAAAGTAATTTCTATGAAAACTGTTACTCCCAAACAATGCTAGAGAAATGAAATGTAACTATACAATACTGACAGCAGACCAGGGTCTTATGACTCATTCTAATTTCACATATGGAAATGAAAATACCATCCTTACCAGTTTGCTGTTGTTGTTATGTGCCATCAAGTTGGACCTGACTCATAATGACCCCTCCTTGGGTTTCCAAGGCAGTATCACTACAGAAGTAGATTGCCCCATCTTCCTTCCAAGGAGTGGCTGGTGAGTTTGAACTGCCAGCCTTCTGGTTAGCAGTCAAGTGCCTTAGTCACTAAGCTACCAGAGTTCCTCCTTACCAGTTTAGAAATAATCAATAAAGTTTACAAAAAGCACCCAGCACTTAGTAAGTACCTGCTCAATAAATAATTGCTGTTATCATTTTAATTATCAGCTTCTCTGTTTGGCAAGGAGCTCTGGTGATGCCATGGCTAAGGAATTCAGCTGCTAACCAAAAGGTCAGCGGTTTGAACCTACCGGCCGCTCCCTGGGAGAAAGACGAGGCAGTCTGCTTCTGTAAACATTCACAGCCTTGGAAACCCTATGGGGTCACTATGAGTCAGAATCAACTCAATGGTAGTGGGTTTGGGGTTTCTCTGGCAGCTGTCCATGCCCCATACCAGCCCTCTTACAGTGCCTGACTTGTGTCAATGGTGCATGAGTCAATGGCCAAAGTGGGATGGCTTTTCCAAAAGGCAAGACTTAAACTCCATCCCAGGTAACCTCCTTCAGTCAGCTCTTAAGATGGGCATGTAGTCCTCGATCCCCAAGACATTTCCTCTCAAGATAAGCACATGGTGCTACCTCCACACAAGAACATTCCCATTGCCTACTAAAGTTCTCATTTCAAAGAGACACTCCTACATACACATGTATTTCCCCAAAAGATTCCATACCTCCTTCTCCAACAGACCAGCTTGATGAGGAGTAGGAGCAAGAAACTTCCCTCTACTCTTTCATGTTCACAAAGTCCATGTGCTCTCCCAAAAGAAATGGTGCCAGAGGCCAAACATCATTGACACTACCCATACAATGGGGTCACTGGGTAATGCAAACAATCAGTGCCCTCAGATGCTAACCCAAAGGTTGGAGGTTCACTTCCATCCAGAAGCGCCTTGGAAGAAAGGAGTACAGTTCTACTCTGACACACTTAGGATCACCATGAGTCAGAATCTACTAGCACTGGCTAACTTGCTACCCATACAACAAAGAGCCATGTCATATTCACCAAGCTTCCAGGCAAGAATCTACTTTTCCCAGAAATTTTTGTTCTTTGGGTTATGGTCTCCCTAACCCTCGTCCCAATCTCTGTGGAGGAGGTGAAGAGAAATCAAATATGCCCTGAAGGTCTGTCCTTTTGAATCAAGCTCTGAGAACCCCTGTTACAGTCCTCCTTGCATCCTCACCTCACTCCCAACACGCAGGTGGAGAGCCCTGGGAAGGTTTCCCACAGTGCATTAACTATGAACAGTGAAAGAAGAGTGTGACGCTATCCAGCGTCTATTGTCAATAATTCATGAGGCTCAGACTAAGGGGCACCAGTCAGAAAGTCCATTTTCCCCGGACATGGGAAAAATTAGACTTAAGCTCTCTTATCTCATCAGGATGTGCTGAGCACTGAGGACGAAATGGGGGCCACAGCTGTACCTCCTTGGTTGAGGACTACAGTATAAATCCAGTGCATGTCTGTTACATAACTTGCTATCCACAAACATCCTTTTGAGGGCTGAAATCCTTTTTTAGCTGCTCAGTTGACCTACACATATATTAAATGAATCCTTAGCAAGCATGAATTCTATTATACAGTGATCCCCAGAATTAGATTTCATGGATCAGAATTCTCTCCCCTCAAATTGTAAGGACTAACATAGGATTGTCAAACTTGTCATTTCACCAACTAAGAACATATTTTCTGAACCTATCTATTTACTTTGATCATCTTTTCTTAAAGACTAATACCAAAAATAAAAGTAGCAAAAGCATATTTCAGGAAAAAATATGTTTAAAATCCTTTAAATTAAATGGCCTTAGCTTTATGAAACTCCTGGTATTGTCTCTATGCTTCTCATTTTTCCTTGAACTAGTGAAATTTTGCCATGGACCAGCACTGCTTCTTAGTCTGGCATTTGGAGGCCACTGGGTTAAACCAATTCAGACACTTGCATTTGAGTCTGTTGAGGTCTTTCTATAATGTACCATAAGCCATCCATACATATTAAATCTCCCAGAAACCCAGGAGGGAGATCATTTCAGCCCAGTTGGCAGAAATGGAGGCTGAAGTCTTGGACACAGAATTTATAGCCAGCATCCTCAGTTTGCAGATGAAGAGTCTGGCTTGTAACGGCAATAATAATTACTATATGGTGGCAATAATTATTGTGTGTTTGGTAGTTTACAGTTTATGAAGTGATTTAACATTCAACAAATATTTATTGAACTAAGGCGGATGAAGGCCAAGGCCTGGGACACAGTGATTGCAGAGAACGTGAGTGCTCCTGGGTTCTCTGTATTCCACCACTAGTCCAGGACCCTCTAGACTCTGCTACTACCTTTTTCTCCCTGTAAAATGGGGGGATTACTCTTTGGTTGGAGGATATAACAGATCCTGTCCAGCACAGACAGCTTCCTGAAGCAGGTTCTAGTGAAACGGAGCTTGAGTCAGGATCTTTATCCCTAGCTGCTGGTTACCATGGAGAACGGAGTCTAAACAGAGCCGTGGAGAATGGAGGGCACCTTCAGTCAGAGGAAGAGCAGTGCCTCCTCCACCGTCAGCTGGGACCCTCACATGGTGGAATCCTGAAGACCACAGACCTCACTTCCATGGGTGATCTCAGAACGGGGTGTCACACATTCAGACCCAGCCTTCTTGGAGAAGAAAGTCCATCTTAAGATTCTGGAAAGCAAAAGCAACCAACTCAAAGTCCCTTCTACTCCTCAAACTTCCCACCTCCTTCGCTCCCTCACCGGCCCCAAAGGGGTATTGCCAAGCAGATGTGGAAGAAGAGGCTGGGGGGCGGGGAGGTCTGCAGAGGCCTACAGGGGTGTGGGAGAGCACATTCCCACACCTGGCCAGGAGAGGCCAAGCCGGCAGAGGCCAGAGGGCTGCGGGACTCAGCGGCAATGCGCCAGTAGGGGGCGCCCGCGGCCACTCTGGCTTCCCCGCGCCACAGGCCAACTCAGCAACACCAGCTAGCTTTCCAGCTCAGGGGCGGCACCGAGCCAAGGAGAAGGCGGCCTGCCCCACGCCCTGCCCCTTAGTCGCCTTCCCTAGTGTGCGCGTAACGCTGCGCTCTAGCCGGCGCCATGCAGAAGGCGGGGCTGTTCCTGAGTTTCTGTCCCCCAGCGTGGAGGTCGGTGCGGATGGTCAGCTCCGAGATGGCCCGCCGGTACCCTCTCGCGAATAAGGTGGCTCTAGTAACGGCCTCCACCGACGGGTGAGTGCCTGGGCCGGGGTCTCTGAGTCTCTGAGGTCCCCGCTGCCTGCAAACTGGGACTAGCCCCTTACTCCTTTCCTCCCACAGGCCCTTACCCTACCTCTAACCTGCAAAGACCGAAGAAAAGAATCACGTGCTAGTCCTGAAACCCCCCCTCACCCAAGCCAATGCCCTGGCCCTAGGCCCCTCCAAAGCCTGCCCTGTTGTTGCACTGCTGCGTCTGGCACGACTCCCCTCACTCCATGCTGCCCCCTCAGTCCAGTCCCCCTGTGCTCTGGGCTGCCCCAGCCCACCAGCTCCACCTAGAGTCTGGGAAGACCAGAAATCCAAGAGAGCCCACATTTCAAAAGTTCTATCCTACTGCCTCTATCAACTTTAAAAATGTTCCAGGCACCCCAGTTAGGCTTCTCTACAAGTCTCCCAGATGACCCTTCCTTACCTGGACCAAGCACACAATCTGTGGTCGGTATTCAGGTCCGTAGGTCCTACCTTTTGGCCTCTGCTGCCCAGCCTGTTTCTCACCCCTTAGACTTGTTTTTATTTCTACACGACTGTGCTAGATGCCAGCTCTTCACAAATCCAAAATACAATGTATGCAGAAATGCTAAGGGACGATCATTGTAAATGTATAACCCTTACTCCTGGGGGATATTTAAGTATTTTTTAAGGAGAGACCTGTTCTTTTAAGTGCACACAAAAATGTAACTAAGAATAAAATTTTGAGAATGATTGAGACTAGTAAGGGAGCGATTTGGGGACAGGACCTCTTTTGGGTAAGTCCTTCAAATCATGGAAGTGGCTGCTGCTATTCCCTTACTTCAGTTATCAATCCTCAGTCTGTACAGAGTATAGGCCTGTCACTCCTGGTGAAGCTTGTGGAAACCAAAAAAACCAAACCTATTGTCATCAAGTTGATTCTAACTTATGTGCTTCATACAGTTTTCTTGGCTATAATCTTTACAGAAACAGATCACAGGCGGGTTCAAACACCAGGCTTTAGGTTAGTAGTCCAGCTCAAGCTGTTTGCACCACCCAAAGACCTGAGGCCTGTGGGAAATGATGTCACTTCCTGGGAATCTTGGCCAAAGGCCAAGACCATATACAAATAAGTAAAGAAGTGCCAAAAACTGCTAAGCATGTCTAACGGCATGGTAATGACTAGGTAACAGTAATGCCATTAACTGTATTTTTAAAATTTAAAAAAAAAAAAAACTCACCACCGTCAAGTCAGATCCAACTCATAGGGACCCCTCCTGGGTTTCCGAGGCTGTATCACTACAGATGTAGATTGCCCAGTCTTTCTTCTGAGGAGTGCCTAGTGGGTTTGAACCACCAACCTTCTGGTTAGCAGTCAAATGCCTTGGGCACTACGCCACCAGAGCTCCCAACACATAAGTAAACAGAGACACATGGCAGTCACAAAGGAGCTAGAATTCAGACTCAGGCACCATGACTTACCCTCTTCACTTGTCCTGTCCTTGACAGTCATTGTCCTCTCTGCCCCCAGGATTGGCTTCGCCATCGCAAGGCGTCTGGCCCAGGACGGCGCCCATGTGGTCATCAGCAGCCGGAAGCAGCAGAACGTGGACCAAGCAGTGGCCATGCTGCAGGGGGAGGGGCTGAGTGTGACGGGCACTGTGTGCCATGTGGGGAAAGCTGATGATCGGGAGCGCTTGGTGGCCACGGTAAGTGGCAGGGATATGGGACCAGAGCCACGAGGTAACAGAAGGTAATCTGAGCCTCCTTCCCAGCTTTACTGTACAATATTGGTGGGATCCAGCCCAGCACTGTGAACTAAAAAATAACAGTGGATTCTGCGTACCCACACTGCTTTACCAACACATTTTAATGGTGTGGTTTTCTGTTATGTCTATATATTGAAGTCTCAGAATCATCCCATTCCAGAGAATCAAGACCACCCTAATGCTTCAGCCCCATATCATCCTTTGGGGCACACACAAAACCAGGCTCTCCCCTCTACCAGTTTCCAGTCTAATTGGGCAGATGAGAAAGGTGAATGCAGTTGCAAAATAGATGTTCCCACCCATAAACTAATAAATAATTCCCTGTTCTTCAGATTAGGGGCCCTGGTGGTACAGTGGGTAAGCACTCAGCTGCTAACCAAAAAGCTGACGGTTCAAACCAACCAGCCACTCTGCAGGAGAAAGATGTGACAGTCTACTTCCATAAAGATTACAGCCTTGGATACCCTATGGGGAGGTTCTAGTCTGTCATGTACCATCATTATGAGTCAGAATCTACTCCATGGCAATGAGTAGGCTTCTCCAGATTACAGAGTAGAGCCCCCAGAAACCTACAAGAAGCAGTCCACCATGTTTCAGCCACATACTGTGTGTTGTGTGTTTTCCAAGCCCTTTCATGAGTTATTTCTAACAACCCAGCAAAGCAGAGACTGTCCTCTGTGCTTACTGAGACTGGTTTATTAAGTGGAGTAACTTCCTATGGTCCTGCAGCCAGTAAGGAAAGAGATGTGATTCAGCCTACACCAATGTCCTTCCTTTTTCTGCAACCTGCAGACTACCAAACGTTTCCTTGTTAGCATAGGGTCGGGTCTTAGGCGCCCACTTAGACCTTAGTCTAAAAAAAAGTGTCTAAGCGACTATCAGAGTTAGTACTTGAAACCAACCTTCAGCTGCACAAGTAAAGGAGGCTGTGTTCCCTCCAGCCTCAGTGCTCAAACGTTATTCCCCAAATTAGAAGGGAAAATCTACCCAAGAACAGGAAGTATGGGATTGTACTAACAGATTAAGTGGTTGGCAAAAATGATCTGTATAATCTTCTCACAAGAGGAAGACCTTAACAGTTTTGAGCAAGGGTATGGGATCTATGGTATGGTAGACAATTTAAGGTTATTCCATTTTTAAGGAACCATTTGGAAAATACTCAGATGTGCATTAGAAAGACCCAAGTATGAGTCCAAGAAAACTACCTTGGTTAGCATAGACTACTAGACAGACCCTAAAATTGGAATCTTGATCCCTAGAGTAAAGGGAGCCATAGAATACATGAAATACACGTGGCAATTCAATATCAAAATCTGATGGGAATAAATGGCCTCTGGCTGGGCCCTACCAGGTCCACTTAAGCTTTCCTGCAACCTTGGCCCAGATGGGGGACTTGTGCTAGATCTTGAGGAGTGGGAGGGGTTGGAAGAGGAATAGCTTTCCAGATAACCCTGCCAAATGAACAGACAGCCGAGGAAGAGCTGAAGGAAAGAGAGGAACACTGTCGATCTTCAGCAGAGAGCACAGGCTCAGGAGAACTGGTGGGCAGTAGCTGGGTCAGAAGGGGTCTCCAGAGCCTCCCAAAAGAGTTGACACTTTCCTTGTAGGAAATTGTGAAGATGTGTGAAGTTTTGTACAAGATGAAAACGGTTAGTAAGAAAGAATAATTTGACACTGGTAGGAAGGGTAGTCTGTCTGGGTAGTGCAAACAGTCAGCGTACTTGGCTGCCAACCAGAGGTTGGAGGTTTGAGTCCACCCGGAGACACCTCTCAAGAAAGGCCTAATAACCTTTCTCCTGAAAATCAGCCACTGGAACCCCTGTGGAGCACATTCTACTTGAACATACCGTGGGTCTCCATGAGTCAGAAATGACTCAACAGCAACTAATTAACTGTAGGAAAGATGTTGGAGTAGGGAAGACACTGAGCCGAGGATGTTACCTAGGAAGCTGTTGCTATAATTCAGGCCGGGGTGGGGGGCAGAACTGATTTAGTAGGAATCAACCAAAATGTTTTTAATCCAATGATTCCAAAATGTCTCTCAGATAGTCTGTATGACCAGTGTCAGTGGAGACTGAGAGGATACTTGCCATCAGTTTGAGATGTGTTCCGCCTGTTGGCAGCAGAACATCCCTCTCCTGTGCACCCCGGTGTGTACCTGCAATGAGAAAAGCTGCTGCCTTGAGGGTGGTTCCTACCTCGTGGCCTCCTAATCTCTATCACAAAGCTTCTCAAGGGCATGGTGAACAGAAACCAGATCAGCCAGCCATTTCTCCACTTGATGATCAAACCAAAACTAAACCTACTGCCATAGAGTCAATTAGGACTCCTGGTGATCCCATGTGTTACAGACAGTAAAACTGTTCCTTATGGTTTTCTTGACTGTAATCTTTACAGAAGAAAGTCACCCGCCAGTCTTTCTTTCACAGTACCACTGGGTGGGTTCAAACTGCCAAACTTTAGGTTAATAGTCGAGCACTTAACCAAGCACTTAACCAAGCAAATCGGCTGCAAAGGACCTCTTTCAAGTGCTCAAGAGCAAAGATGTCTTCTTGATGACTAAGATGCACCTGACACAAGCCATGGTATTTTCAATCGCCTCATATGCATCTGAGAGCTGGAACACCGAAGAAGAATTGATACTTTTGAGTTGAGGCGCTGGCTAATACTGAAAATACCATGGACTGCTAAAAGAACTAACAAATCTGTCCTGGAAAAAGTGCAGCCGAAATGCTCCTTGGAAGTGAGAATGGCCAGACTTCTTCTCACCTACTTTGGTCATGTTGTCAGAAGGGACCATTCCCTGGAGAAGGATATCATGCTTGGTAAGGTGGAGCGTTGACAAAAGAGGGGAAGGCCCTCAATGAGATGGATTGATACAGTGGCTGTGGCGATGGGCTCAAATATAGCAGAGATCATGGAGCAGGCGCAGGACCAGGCAATGTTTCATTCTTCTGTGCATAGGATCACCATGAGTCAGAGATGACTTGACGGCACCTAACAACAACATAACCATTTGTACAACCCATAATATTTTTTCTAAAAAGTAAAATTTTCAAAACACAGAGCAAACAAGTCCAAATTACTGTAGTACAGTGATCACACAGTTTAGAGCAAGATTTAGAAGACACCTGGAAGGTTATAGGTACCTTTTTCATTAACCTTCTATGGTTCCCAGTCTCCATTCAGTCAAAACCCAGCCTTCTCCCCGTCTCCGTGCTGATAGGCCTGAAAAGGGCGGGGAACAGGATGTGCAGCAGGAGTGTAAAGCTTTCTAGGTGATTCTGGTGCGATCCACCATCTTCTCTCCACCTCCAAACACACACAGCACACCTCACTTCCTAGCTTAGTCTACATCTTTTCTAGTCAACAGTCCATAGGCAAGGCTTACCCAGAGCCAAGGCAGATAACTGGGGCTTGGCCCCAGAACACCAAAATTTAGAGAGTGTAAAAAAGTGCTACCACTGATCTTAAGTGATTATATGATTTTAAATTTTGTCAAATTTCCATGTTGATGGCTCAGGCAGTACATGTTCATGGCTTCGGCAGTGTAGAAACAACTGAGCTTAGCACCTAGTTAGCAAGAATAATTAGTTAAAATGGGAAGCTAGCAGATGGTACACATTGTTAATAACACCCCTCTGTGTGCCGAATCATGAAGTACAAAGTTGATAGAGGGCCCATGTAGTGCTACTTGCTCAAGGCATCAGAATTACCAGTTCTGGGTAAATGCAAAGTCTGGTTCAGGGTGGCTTCATATTGAAAACTCTTATTGGCAGAGACTGTTTGACCATTCATTACTCCAGCAAGCACGTGTCTTCACCACCTATTTACAACTTACTAAGGAGGTGAGATGTTGTCTTTCTTGGCTTTCCTAGTTTAAATCTCAGTTCTGCCTTGTGTCTTCCGTGCTTTCAGGCAAAAAGAAAAAGGGAACGAGTGTAGGACTGAGTGTAGGACTGCTTTAAATCCAGGCTGGTGTCTCCCCCATCCTGGTTATCTGGGCAGCCAGCTTCCTAGTGATGCCACCTCCCCCACAGAGGGCTCTCATGAATTAGCATGCCAGGACAGTTCTCCCCTGCCTGTTTCACAGCCCACTTTCTATCCCAGGCAACACGTAACATTGGTCTTTACCCTTTTCCAACAACATCATTCTGAAACTTAGTTAAACCAAATATGGCACAATTTTAAACAAAAGGATGCAGGTCGCTGTGATAGAAAAGCCTCAGCACTAAGAAGTGGGTGACCAAGTCTCTCTGCTTAGTTCTGTGCCACTAACTAGCTTTGTGTCCTGGGTAAATCACTTCCCTCTCCCAACAAACCAGATGAGTAGGACTCCTGTTCTTGGGTGGACTTTATGTGTCAACTCTGAGCTATGTGACTTGGAGAAAGTAACTTCTTTAAACCTCAGTTTCATCACCTACACCATGTAAATGTTGGGCTAGATAATCTCATAGGCCCCTCCCAGTGGGAATTTTCTATGTGTCTATTTAAACTGGTTTCTTCATTAAGGTAAGTGTGGACAGATTGGGTTTGATGTAATAGTAACTCATCTAAGAATAATAAGCACTTGGGGAAATAGGGCTGAGACTCAGTATGAAAAGAAGGGGGGATTAGGAATACATTTTGAGCTAGAAGACATTATGCTAACTGAAATAAGTTGATCACAAAAGGGACAAAGATTATATGACCTCAATTATTATATGACAAATATTATATGACAAGAAAAGGCACATGTATAGAGAATAAAGTTTATTAGTGGTACCAGGGGCAGGAGGAAGGGGGAAGAAGAGGGTTAATGGTGGTGGAAATATCATATTGATTAAAGGTAGAGTTGCACAACCAGTTATTGTAATTGCTGTCAATAAGGTGTATACCTATAAAAAGTTGAACTGGCAAAAGTTGTATTATGACAGATATATTTACAACAATGACCCAAAAAAAAAAAAAAAGAGTAGCTGGTAAGACTGCTTATGTACAGCTAAAAAAAAACCTCATGGAGTTTGGTTTCTTGGTTTAGTGTTTCAGGGTCGTGGTTAAATGGGGCATCCCAGTTAATTGGCCAAATAATAGGTTTAGTGCTTCTATTCTACCTCCTAATTCCTTGTGTAATGCTTGGGGCTTTAAAAGCTTGCTAGCAACTATCCAAGGCACAACAATTTTTCTCTGATTAGCCTGGAGCAACCAAGAAAAAAGGAGTATCAGGAATAGGAGGATATGGAATGTGTGGCTAATTGCCTCCATGAACAACTGCCTCCTTTGCAATAAGATCAGAAGAACTGGATGGTGACTGGCTACCATTACTGAATGTTTTGATCAAAGATTCTATAGAAGAATCCTGATCAAAAGGGGGATAATGTAGAACAGACTTTCAGGTTCTCATGGACTCCAAACTTCCTGGAGCCATGAATTTTGGATGAACCCCTGAAATTACTGCCCTGAAATAATCTTTAAACCTTAAACCAAAAATATCCTCCTGAAGACTGTAAAATGATACAATCATACTGTGGAAAACAGTATGGCACTTCCTTAAAAAGTTGGAAATAGAAATACCATTTGATCCAGCAATCCCACTATTAGGTATATATATCCTAAAGAAGTGAGAGCTAGATCATGAATAGATATATACACACCCATGTTCATCACAGCACTATTGACAAAAGCAAAGTGATGTAAACAACCGAAGTGCTCATTAATGAATGAATGGATAACCAAACTATGATACATACACACAATAGAATACTGTACAACACTGAAAAATAGTGAAGAATCCACAAAACACCTCATAATGTGGATGAACTTAGAAGACATAGATATAGATATAGATAGATATATCAATCACAGAAGGACAAATATTGTATGAGTCTACTATTGTAAAAAGTCAAGGAAATGTTTACACATAGAAGGAAACTTTCTTTGTTGGTTGCCAGGGATGGGACAGAAGGAGAGGGTAAAGTACTAGATAGGTAAGAGACAAGTATTGATTTGGGTGAAGGGAAAGGCAATATACCAAAAGCAAGTGACCAGCACAATAACGTTAAGGAAAAGGAAGACATGGAGAGGTGCACAAGAGGTCCAGACAACAAAGAGAAATACTTTTACATACACAATACTGCATTGTCAGTGATAACGAACATTAATCTATAGGTGGATACATAGCTAGACAGGCAAAATGATCAAGTATGGGTAGGCAAAAGGGAATATACCCAGGACCATATTTAAGTTTGGCAGGCAATATCTCTACAAAACTATTTGTATGTACTATAAGAATATCCATATATATAATAGAGCTAACAGATCAAAGTTATGATCACTTCTTAGCCACAGCCGAACACCTTGAGTGAGTTGCTGGGACCACGAGCTCAGTACAGTGGTCACAGAAGACATCAAGCTCAAGCTCAATTGGCATAACATACTATACAAAAACATTGTTCTACATCTTACTTCACTGAGTAGTGACTGGGGTCTTAAAAGCTTAGGAACAGCCATCTAAGATGCAACAATTGTTCTCTCCTCATCTAGAGCAAAGAAGAATGAAGAAAATCAAAGACACATGGAAACAATTAGTCCAAGGGGTTAGTGGGCCATGGGAACCACAGCCTACATGACCCTGAGACCAGAACCATATGGTACCCAGCTACCACTGTCAACCACTTGGAAAGGGATCACAATAGGAGATCCTGGATAGAGTAGGGAATAAACATGGAACAAAACTCAAAATCATTTAAAAAATGAAAAAGATCAGATTTATTGGTCTGATAGAGATTGGTGAAACCCTGAGACTATGCCTCCTAGTCAACCTTTGGGCCTGGAATTGAACTCACTCCCATGGCTTCCAGCCAAACAATAGACAGGCATATAGAGTGAACATTTACATCAGGTACGTACACTCCTTAGAACAATCAACCATAGCAGATCAGAAGGGCAACATTTGCACAGGGAGATAGCTCAGAGGGTAGGAATGCCTAAGAAGAAAGGACACAGGGAAAAGGTCACCACAGAGAGGAAGTAGGAAGAGAGCTGTTACATAATGGGGATTACAGTCAAAGTCATGAAACAAAATATGTATGAACTGTTGAATGGAAAACAAATTTGCTCTGTAAACTTTCACCCACATCGTAATTTAAAAAAAAAAAAAAAAGCAAGGAGTCAGTAAGAAACAAAAATGGCAGAATGTTGGTAATTTCTAGAGCTGGGTAGTTGGCATGTGGGGGTTCAATATAGAATTCTCTCTGCCTTTATGTATGTTTGAAAAATGCCATAATAAAAAGTTGTATAAAATATCATTTTAAAAAAATTGTTTAAATGAGATACCATCTTGCTCCAGCACTAGTATCAAAGTTCAACAAGACAGAAAATAACAAATGCTGGCGAGGTTGTGGAGAGATTGGGACTCTCATACACTGCTGGTGGGACTGTAAAATGGTACAACCATTGTGGAAAGCAGTATGGCGATTCCTTCAAAAGTTGGAAATACAAATACCATTTGACCCAGCCATCCCATTACTAGGTATATACCCTAAAGAAGTGAGAGCCATAACAAGAACAGATATATGCACGCCGATGTTCATCGCAGCACTATTTACAATAGCCAAAACTTGGAAACAACCGAGATGTCCAACAACTGAGGAATGGATAACCAAACTTTGGTACATTCACACAATGGAATACTATGCAATGCTAAAGAATAATGTAGAATCTGCAAAACACCGCATAATGTGGATGAACTTGGAGGACATTATGCTGAGCGAAATAAGTCAGTCACAAAAGGACAAATATTGTATTAGTCCGTTATTGTGAAAGTTAAGGAAAGGTTTATATATTGGAGGACATTTTTTTTGTTGGTTACCAGGGGTGGGAGGGAAGGGGAGGGAATGCTGTTAGATAGATAGAGATAAATATTGATTTGGGTGAAGAGAAGGGCAATGTACCAAATGTGAGTGACCAATGTGGCAGCATTGAGGATGAGAAAGACAGAGAGAGTTACATGGGCAGTACAAACAACAAATATGAACCCCTTTGTAAATACAATACTGAGTTGTCAATGAAAGCAAACATGGGTATAGGGACGGATAGATGGGTGAACAAGCTAAACAATTATGTATATCTAAATGGAGAGTGTATCCAAGATCATATACAGGGTTGGCAGACAATGGGTCTCTCAGGGTGCAGAAGAGTATGAAGGGATGGACACTGGGAGGAGGTAACTATGGGGAGGAAGTGGGAGGGGAGCTGCTGCATTGTAAATTTTGGTCAATGACATGAGACAAAGTATATGTGAACTGCTGTATGAAAAGTGAATTTACTCTGTAAATCTTCACCCAAATCCTAATAAAAAAATAAAATAAAAAATTAAAAAAAAAAAAATTGTTTAGCTTAACTTGTGAAAAATGTCTGCCTTGAGCATTAGCTCTTTTAAGAACTATCTATATGGGATCAAATGGACAACAGCAACTTGAAAGGTTAAATAGGACCTTAGGGAGAAGTAAATTTATGCTAATGGATGAGGAATAACTTAGAAAAGGAGGATGAGAATGGCTGCACAACTAGGAGAATGTAATCAATGTCACTAAATGGTACATGAAGAAACAGTTGAATTGCTGTTTGTTTTTTCCTGTATATTCTCAACTACATCAACAAAATAAATAAAATTAAAAAGAAGAAAACCCTAAGGAGCATTAAAAAAATTAATAAAATTTGAATAGGTAAGTCTACAGAGATTCAGGTGTATTAGTGGTTGCCAGGGGCAGGTAGGAGGGAAGGGAAGAAGAAGACATAACACTTAGAGGACACTGACCTGTTAAAGATAATGGGAAAATTCGAGAATGGTTCATGGTGATGGGTGAACACATGATGAACATATTTAATGTCACTCAACTGTGCATACGAAGATTGTTGCAATGGCAAATGTTTTGTTACCTCTATATTTACCACAATTTTAAAATACATATGTAAATATAGAAAAGAATTGAAGTCATGAGAATGAAGGAGCTCTCCAGAGGAAAGTATAAAGAAAAGAGCAAAGGGCCAGAGAAAGCCTTAGAAGAAGTGAGGATAGAAAGAAAAGATTGCAGAAGAAATAAGACAGCTTTAAACATTAATCAGCAGAGTTTAGGGTAGCTTTGGAGAGAAAAATTTTCAAGAAGAGATGACATTTTGACAATTGTCTGTAAGAAGGAGGTTCTGATCAACATTGATAAATGCACCTTCCTTGCTTACCTGCTTCTCTGATCCAGACTTTACTCCTCTCTAGGCTGTGAAGCTTCATGGTGGTGTTGACATCCTGGTCTCCAATGCTGCTGCCAGCCCCTTCTTTGGAAACCTAATGGATGTAACTGAGGAGGTGTGGGACAAGGTGAGAGGGGATTAAGGCAGCAAGGAGGCAGTCCTCAGAAAGCCTTCAATGCCAGCTCAGTCTGCTTTTAAAATGCATTTGTCAAGGGCAATGTAAATGTGAGGAATCATCACTGTTTGTCACACACCTGGAACGCACTGGTAAAGGGCAGTGGGAGGTGGCTTCTCTCTCCTTGTTCTTCCTTCTCTTGTACTTCTGCTTCTCCCAGTTTGGTCTTTCCATTTGCTGCTTGCTAGCTTTCTTCTGCTTGCCTCCCCCAGCTCTCTCCTCCCAACATGCTTATCCATGCTGCTCTTTCTAGCAGAGGCCTGGCATCTAATTGGTCAATAACTAATACACTGGTAAACACACCCACCCATCTTCAGCTGCAAAAAAAAATAGAATGATTTTTCGTTAGTTGGGAAACTTTAAGAGTTGCTTCCAAAAAAAAAAAACCTGCAAACTCACTGCCATAGAGTCAGTTCTGACTCATAGCGACCCGCATTGGGTTTCCAAGGCTGTAAATCTTTATGGCGGCAGACCGCCCCATCTTTCTTTCACAGACCAGCTGATAGGTTCAAACCACCAACCAAATGCTTCAATCACTGCACCACCAGAGCTCCTTTTAAGTGAAATGCCAGTTCTGGTGAAATGACCCCTTTGCTGTAGGGGTTGCATCTGACCTATAATTCCACAGGGGTAAAGGAGGATCAACATCAAGAGCCCAAGGCTGATTCCTATGAGGCAGAGATCAGCCATGTCACCACCATGTAACCTTTTTACCAATTCCAACACCAACCATCCCTCTGATGGCACTCTCTGCTTCTCTGCTTGGTTCAGAAATTCACTGAAATGGCCACATAGAACCCACATACAATACTCACAAATATGGGGTGTATTGGGGAAGTAAGAGGTTACAATTCAGGATCAGAAACAGTTTAGGATACAGTTCTTTGATCAGGACAGCCTCTCCTCAGCAGTGTCTCTCTTTGGCCCTTGGCCTCTTGGCTCTGTGGCCTCTGCCCTGCTCTGGCAAGTGTTACAGAGCTCTTTTAGCTCTGATGATAGGTACCCAGAGAGGCATACTACTCCTCCACCAAGCCTCCTGCCCAAGGCACTCAGCTTTCTTGCTCCGTGAGCTGGGAAGCTTCTCTGTGGCACACGTGTCTCTTGGTTCTATTGGTTCTGCTGCCTGTGCTGCCACTGTTTCTTTGTGACTGCTTCCTGCTGTCTCTGATGTCACACCTTTTTGTCTCCTGGATCAAGGAAATTTAGCACAGGGATCTCAGGTCCAAAGGACATGCTCCCCTTCTGGCTTTTCTTTCTTGAGTGGTATTCTCCTTTCCACCTCTGAGATGGCTCATTTTAAGCCTAGCAGATGGCAAAACTGACCAATCCCCACTTTAGGGTTCCATACACCTTATTTGCATAGTCCCACCCTACAAGGTGCTATGCACCTTCTCTCCATTTTTAGCAAGTTAGCCAATCCCCTTAGTGGGCCACAAGCACTCACATTTGCATAGACCCATCCCATCATCTGGTGGGAGTCACAAAGACCATGGCTAGGACCATATTAAGTAATTCACTGCACTGCACAACCAAAGGTGCCACTTTATATAACTTACTACCTTTGAGAAAGACCTGTACTTTCTCCTTCTTAACTGCAATGTCAAGAAAGTCTGAGACCCAGATGTCGAAATTTGAAAGCTGGGATATTGGTTTTTATTTGAACATGTACAGTGTACATTATACTTATAATATATTCCACATACCTACATTCTTTAATTTTAAAGCCTTAATTAAAACATTTGTCTTTTTTTACTAAGGTTAATATTCCCACATGATTGGGAATGTTCAATGTTTTATGATTTCCCATGGTTTTGCATTTACTCTGATGTCATCCATAATTTCCCAACACTGAAAACACTAGCATATTATAGCTTGTTTATCAGTGTTGCACAGGTGTAAACACCGAAGTGTCAAAATGCTCTTCAGTGAGCTAGTTCCTCAGATATTCTTTAAAGTAGAGAAACATCTTTTATGAACAGTCTGAATAAAGACCATAGGAAAATCCTTTTAAGCCAAGTAATTTTTCTTTTTAGTTTTCAGTGTTTTAAAATATCACAGAATATCAAACCTAAATGCAATAGTTAATCCATGATTGAACTCAGGATTTAAAAAGAAAAAAAAAAGATATCTTTGGGAATTTTTATTTGATAAATTATTGTTATCAGTGTTAAGTTTCTTGGGGATCATAGTAGATTGTGGTTGTGTAAGAGAATACCCCTATTCTTAGGATACAAATGCTAATGAATAGGGATAGAGCAGTAGATCTTACCTCCAGTAGTTCAGTAAAATATCATATAAAGAGATAGGACAAATGAACAAAATGGGAACAACTGGTGAATCTAGGTGAAAGATAATCTGAATATTCATTGTACTTCTGTTTCAGTTTTGCTGTAAGATTGAAATTTTTCAAAATAAGAAGTTGGCACAGGGAGAGTAGGCATATCCCAGCAGTGTCTCACCCAAAAACCAAACTCACTGCTGTCCAGTCAGATCTGACTCATAATGACCTCTCCTTGGGTTTCCGAGGTGGTATCTCTACGGAAGTAGATTGCCCAGCCTTCCTTCCAAGGAGTAGCTGGTGGGTTTGAACCGCCAGCCTTCTAGTTAGCAGTCAAATGCCTTAGGCACTATCCCACCAGAGCTGCAGTGGTGTCAAGAACAATGTAAACAAGTATCATATATTTGTTTTAAATTATGGCATGAAGATTTTTATTACAGCCTATAGCCCTGCTCCCCAAAAAAATGTCTCCTCATAATACCTCTTTCCAATAAATGTCCAACCAGGCATTCCCTCCTGAAGGGCAAAGAACAACTTACTCCCTAATCTCAGAGGCCAAAGTGCTGAAACAGCCCCAGGTGCATGACATCAAACACGTTTTCCTGAGAAGTGCAGCCCATTTTAGGAAAGGTTAAGAGGCAGACCCAAATTCATCCTTTCCTTAGTTGGAAGAAACCCAGAAAACCCACTCAAAACCAAAGCAACGCTGTATTAGTCCACTGTGGGTTAAATCATAGTTGGCCGATTAATAAACCAGATGAACCAGGCTCCTTTCTTTCACACCTGAGCCTAATGTGTCATTATGGAGCCGAATAAGCTGGTGAAAGGCACTTAACTTCTTCCAGAGCCTTGGTTTCTTCACTTGTAAGATCAGGGGAGATCACTTCTGAGATCAACAGACAGATCCTAGGAGCCTAACTGTATCTCCTCATCACCCTGCCTCCTCTACCCCATTTCTCTCATGCTGCTTCCCCTTCTCTTGGTTTCAGATTCTGGACATTAACGTGAAGGCCACAGCCCTGATGACAAAAGCAGTGGTGCCAGACATGGAGAAACGAGGGTACAAAGAGTGAGAGGGAGCCTGGGTGCAGTGGGACCCCACATGGGGCTGAGATGTCCACTGGGAAAAGTATCAGTTTTCTTCTTTTTCCAGAGGCGGCTCAGTGGTGATTGTGGCCTCCTTAGCAGCCTATACCCCGTTTTCTGTAAGAACCCCTTTCTCTGCTGGTTTTATCCCTTCCTCAATTCCATACCTTCCCATGTCTCAAGTCGCCATACAAGTTTTGAGACCCCTTTTGGGATCATACCACCAGGTTCTTGCCCACAAAATAGATGTCTTGCCTGTAACAAACTCTAATGTAGGGAAGGTTTAACCACTAGACAGTTTTCTGTGACCCTCTCTTATGGAAGATACTGTATTGACCACTGCCCATTACATCTAATGCTAAGAACCAAGAATGAACTGAAAACTAAGGGATGAGACTAACCCGTTCTCTCCTTTCTTCAGGGCCTGGGCCCTTACAATGTTAGTAAAACAGCCTTGGTGGGCCTCACCAAGAACCTGGCCTCAGAGCTGGCTGCAAGGAACATTAGGGTGAACTGCCTGGCACCTGGACTCATCAAGACCAACTTCAGTCGTATGGTGAGGAAGGGGAGCCCTGCCATTCACTGCATGATCCCTGAAGGGTAGCCGTTTTCCTGGATCTGCCTGAGTTCTGAGCTTCCAACCACTTCCATCCCACTTCCCTAAAATTTTCCATCTTCCTTCCACATGCCAACCACCGTCCCCAGACCAAACACACACACACACACACACACACACACATCTTCCTTGACGTGTAAGTGGAGACTGAGGAATTCAAACTCTACTCACACTATAGTCTATCTCCTTAAGTGATGAGAACTTGGGAAACTTTACTCTTTGGAGACCCAGCAAAATGCCTCACTGATAAGAATGAAACAGAAAAAGAATGAAACAGAAAAAAAGTGGTTGGGAAAGATTGGTACCTAAGAATGGATAGAAAGTGAAAAAAGGAGTCTCTTCATTCCTCTTGATATGAAGACAGAGGCGTCTCTTCCATCTCTGTCTTGTAGTTTTCTCTTCTTTCACATAAAGAGATTTTCCCTCACTTCTCCCCTCTTCCTGCAGTTGTGGATGGACAAGGCAAGAGAGAAAAGCATAAAAGAAATGATGCATATAAGAAGGTAAGGCTTGTCACAGGGTAGGGTTTGGCGGGATAAAGGTGGAATGATCTAGTCCCTGACATAACCCACATCTCATTGCTCCTCTGTCCCACAGATGTGGACATCCTCTCCCCTGCCTCAAACACACAGACTTTACAAATTCATAAACACTGTATCATTTCAGTGGCATGTGCAGTGTCAGCTTCTATTGCAAAAACCAAACACAGAGCTCTGGCAGAGGCCCTGACTCTTTTCTCCACCTGGTTGTTGGCCTCCACATCTGGGCATCTGCAGCCACCAGGGATACACAGCTCTTAGACCAAAAACAAAAACAAAACCATGCTTTTTTAGTTCCCCTTCAATAAAAAGAGTCATGCTTCCAAAGTTTAGGTTGCTCATTCTATAATCCAAATAAAAACCATGAAGAGCTTTCCTAAGCCCAGAATTCCCTTTGCCTGAAAAAACTACCCAAAGGCTGGCCAAACCATTCAGAATACTTAATCTGGCTCCCTTCCCTCTAAGCTTCTTGCCTCTACCATTTAGCTTCTGGGCATTCTCTCGTCCCACTCTCTTCTCCATCTTGTCCTTTTCAAGGACAGATTTCAACACCAACTACCAGTTTACAGATCCGAACATCCTAGGCTCCTTCATGTCCTCCTCAGCTGTTCTGATGACAGCATGAGCTACAGCCCTAGTTCATAAATCAGGGTGGGGATCTTCTTGAGCCCCAGTGAATGGCCTAGCCCCATGCTTCTTAATCCTGGGTGTACATTAGAATCACCCAGGCAGCTTTTGGAAATACAGATGTGGAGGCCCCACTCCTAGAGATCCGTTTTTAACTAGTCCAGGGAAGAGCTGGGCATCTTTTTTTGCTGTTGTTAAGTTTTCCAGATGACTACAATGTGCAGCTAGGATGGAGAGACATGAATTCAGGCCTTCTAGGTTTGAGTTACTCACTCTCCCGACCTCTAGAGCATTATATGACAGGTAGATTAAAAGTATCCCCTAACACAGGTTTACTGGCCCCATGGAGCCTGGTGGAACCACTGAGCCTATGGCCTCTAGCTGTCCTTCAGGTCTGAAATTGAACACACACCTGTAGCTTCCAGCCAAGCAGTAGACAGGCATACTAGTTGAGCATTTATCTGAGGTAGATACACTCCTTGGAGAGAACAAGTAAGAGAGAAAGAAGGGCTGCTCAGGCACAGGGAGACAGCTTAGGGGGTAGGAGTGCATGGAGGGATGGTCACAGGGAAGCGGTACCTATCGGGAGGAAGCGGGAGAGGAGAGGTTGCATTGTGCTAAATAGTGGTCAATGTCATAAGACAAAGTGTATGTGATCTGCTGTATGGAAAGTGTATTTGCTCTGTAAATTTTCACCCAAATCACAATTTAAAAAAAAAAAAAAAAAAGTATCCCCTAACTATGCCATCACTTATACGATGAGAATTAGCACATTCTCACAAAATGAAACCAATTTTAAGGGACAAAAGTAGGTTCCTGAAAAAGTTTCTGTAAATTGATTCTGTACAAATGGAATCATTTTTCAAACACACTACTTACTGTCACACAGACTCCCTGACATTAGAGTAGTATGCAGACATGTGAAACAAATTATTTTGATATGAAATAATGGCTCACCATTTTATCTTTTGTAACTAGTTTTTTGTGTACTGAGTTCTCAAAAAAGTCTCTATATTATTTGAATATAATACGTAATGGTTTTTGCAGAATGTATCTTTATGCTGACACTAAATTATCACAGCTTATCCTCATGGTAACTCTATGTGATAGATGTCCATTGGTCCTGAAAAATCATCTGATAATTCTTTTGTTCTTGTTGTTTATTGTGTTAAGTATATAGGTAGCTATAAACAATAGAACCTATAGGTTACAATATATAGGTATACAAGTAACAGAACATTTGCCATTTCTACAACTGATAATGCTTGATTAAGCAAATGTCATTCCCTGTGGACCAGGGTCAGAGGGCGCAATCTGTCTGAGTTTTACTCCCTTCTGTTTCCTGTTTCCTAGGATAGGCAAGCCAGAGGAGTGTGCGGGCATTGTGTCTTTCCTGTGCTCTGAAGATGCCAGCTACATCTCTGGGGAGACAGTGGTGGTAGCTGGAGGGGCCCCCTCCCGGCTCTGAGGACCTGGAGTGAGCCAATCAGGGCAGAGGCTGGACTCCAACTCCTGGGTTCTGTTCCAGCATTCGTGGACCAGCCTTCCCTCCTCTGTCTATCATACTGTTCACTTTACCCCTCCCCCCATCCCCAAAATCTTATCTGCCCTGTGAAAAAAGACAGTCTCCCCTGCAGTCAAGGTGTGGTCTTCTAAGGACCCCGGCTGTTGCTGTTGCTCTGGATAAACACTTCTGAGAACACAGAGCAGGCCTGCTGAGAAGGTTGAGTTTACCTAGGCAAAGACCAACTAATATTTTTTTTCTGGGCATCTGGGGAATCTGAGGGGTGATGAGAGAGAAAGAATCTGGAGTGAAAGGTGCAGAGTTGGAAATTAACTTGCAAATGAAATGCAAATAAAATGCAGATGATTGTGTTGCTTTGAATCAACGTATTCCTTTTTCAGTGTGGTGCTTAGGTAAGGTAGCTGGGCAGAAAGCAGAGGTCCCACTGGGCTGCATCTCTGGATCCCCTTAACTCTCCTCCACGTCTCCAAGAACTGAGCGTGACACTCAGAGGTGGAGGTATCTGCAGAGCTGCGGGCTGGGAGAAGGTGGCTCGGGAATTCCCAGGTGCTGCTCTCAATCTCGCACCCTCAGGAATGGTGCCATGGACGCCACAGGAATCCCCGAAGCTGGGCGCGCGGGAAGGGAAGGACGAACTCCCCAGATCTGGCCAGGTTCTCTCCCAAATCGCCATAGGCTCCGAGCTCCCTCCTGGGTCAACGAGGACAAGCTAGACGAATCCTAACCCGGCACGGGAAAGGGAGAGAGCCTGGAAGCATGACCCGGGGAACGGTACTCAGCCCCAGAAACAAAAGAAATAGGCTCTCCTCATGCAGCCCGAGGAGTGAGTGACACGGAAAGTGTGGACGCTACCCCAGCTCAAAGATGTGGCCTGGGCTTCAGGCGACGCGCACAGGGCGTCGCACGCGAGAGCCAGGGGGAGGGGTCGGCGCGAGCAAGCGCGGGGTCTCACGCGGCCCGCGGCGCGATGCGCATGCTCCGTCCAGCACCTCGCCGGGCGGGGCGGGAGCCCGGGCGCTCCGAGGCGGGGGGAGGAGCGCTCGCGCAGCCGCCCCTGACGGGAGCGGGCTCGGCCGCTGCTGCAGCGCTCCGCGCCCGGGCCCTGCCGGAGCCGGGTCTAGCATGTGCCGCGGCTCCCGAGCGGCGGCGGCGGCAGCTCCTCTGCAGCAACAGCAGCAGCAGCGGCCGCCATGGCCAAGCCCAGCGCGGAGCTCACCCGCGAGCTGCAAGGTACGAGGCTGCTGTGGTCTCTGGGACGCCCCGTCCGGGAGCATCCCAGACCCAGTGCATTCCTTCCCGCGGTACGCCCCAGCCCTTGTGCCTCCCGCCTACTCCCCACCCCCATGCATCCCGGCTTCAGGGTAGCCCTTGCTTCCCAGCTCGGACATCGCTGTCTCCGGAGCATCCTCCGCTGCCCCTCTCTCGCCTCACGCTATCAGGACCTTCCTTGTCCCGCAGCCGCCTGTCCCGCTCTTCGGTGACAGGTGCAGTCCCGTTGCGCTCCCTGGGGCTGACTCTCAATGCTCCAGGCCCACCCCCCAGCGTGGCATCTAGTCTCCCTTCGGGAGAGACCCCGCTTTCCCGCTGGGAGGGGCCAGTCCCGCCACACCCGGCGTAGGGAACTGCCCCTGGTCCTGACCACGCTTGGCTCCACACCCTCCCTCCTCACGGCCCCGGCCCAGAACTGGCCCTGGAGGGTCCCATAGGAGCCGGACAACACCCAGGTTAGTGGAGCAAAGAAGGGAGACAGGAAGGAAGCCCAAGATTGGAGTTAAAACCAAGAGTAGGGTTTCTGCCGCTCGTCCCTACAGTCCTGCATCCCAGCCTGCCCCCTCGTGCTAACCCCGACCCTCACCTCAAGTCCTCTCATGTTTGCATGGCTCTCAGACTCATGCTAAACCAAGGCCTGATCCCCCAGCACCGCCAGAACCTTGCCTATCAGAGGCAGGAGCAGAGGCTAGCCTACAGACACCTGGACGCTCAAGGATACTCAGAGACATGTTGTACATTAAGATTCCCCACACCTCCACACACACAAGCACAATCATGAGATGTGTGTACACACAGCTTTACAGAAACTGCACCCACTCCCCCACCCCCACCCCCTCACACACACACACTATAGAATATCTGCATGATTTGCTAACAGATGGGGATGGGGCTCATTTAAACACTAACTCCTCCCTACCCCCTGAATCCCCCACACATATACCAGAACTGCCTGGCTCTGTGCCCCTTTTACAACAGCAAGCACAGCAAACTCATTCACACTTCTCCATCCCCATTAGTGTCACACGTAGACTCCCTGACACCTTTAGATGGTGTACACACTCTTGTAGTAAAAGGCAGACACACACACCCAGGACACTAGAATGTAGTCAAAGGGACACCCCCACGTCCCACATACTGACTCACTGTATATGTGACGGCTGCTGTAGTGCATGGGTTGGAATTATCCTTCACACCCTCAGAAGTGTAAGACACACCCTCCCACAAACAGTGGTACTCAGCGACTATCCCCTGACTCAGGGACATCAGAAACCAGAGTTTTCTCCACAGTTTACCCTTCTCTAATAAGAGGAAAATCGCCCAAGAAGGAAGGATGTCTACCGCTGCTCTTTGTCTCTGTTTCTCTCTCCTCCCATCTGGCCCTGCCCCTGCCTCTATCTGAGAGCCCTGGGGAGGTGGGGGAGGGGCTAGCCAGGGTAGGGGGATCTCTGAGCAGGCCCCCACCCACCTGCAGACAGCATCCGGAGGTGCCTGAGCCAAGGGGCTGTGCTCCAACAGCACCGCGTGAAGCTGGAGACCAAGCCCAAGAAGTTTGAGGACCGAGTGCTGGTGAGGGCAGGGAGCCTGGGGGTGGAGGGGGAGATGAGGACAGCAGGGCTGGTGAGGGCAGCAAGACCGGGTGGCAGGGAAGACAGAGGTGGGAGGGGGCTAAGGAGACACAGCTTGGGGAGGACACAGGACTGGACTGGGCTGATGTCCAGAAGCCTAAGATAGGGCATGAGAGAAAAGGAGGACTCTTGGGCAGAGGACCACTGCTGGCAGGGGTTACACACAGGCTAAGGACACTAGAAGGAGCCAAGGAGACTAGGACCCAGGCAGAAGCTCAGCAAGCTGCTGACATTCCTCTCTCTGCAGGCCCTGACCTCCTGGCGCCTCCACCTTTTCCCCCTTAAGGTCCCTGCCAAGGTGAGTTGGGCTGGGGAACGGGAACCCCCAGCATGCTCCCCCCTGGGCCTGGCTATCCAGGCCTTTAGGACAAGCTGAGCCATCCCTGAGCTGAGCCATCCCCGTGCCCTGCCAGGTGGAGAGCTCCTTCAATGTGCTGGAGATCCGCGCCTTCACCACACTCAGCCAGAACCAGGTGAGCACCAGGGCTTGGGACCTGGTGAGTGGGCCAGCCAGGGGAGAAGTCAGTGTCTAAGGCCCTGATGCTCCTTCACCCCCAGATCCTGGTGGAGACGGAGCGTGGCATGGTGAGCATGCGGCTGCCCTCAGCTGAAAGCGTGGACCAGGTGACCCGACATGTGAGCTCCGCCCTCTCCAAGGTCTGCCCTGGCCCTGGGTGAGTGGCAAAGGAGGAACTTCTCAAGCACTTAGACAACAGGGAGACTTCTCCATCCTTCCCTCCTTCCCCTGGACCTGGACTCCTGGGATACCAAGAAGAAAGCTCTCGTGTCCCCACTTGTGCATTTTCCTGGAGATCCAGAAGTTATAACAGGGGAAGCATTGACAGCCTTTTTCCACCCCTCTCTGGGATGGGCTTGTTCACCTTCCAGGTGTCTCATCCGGCGTGGAAATGCAGACACCCCAGAGGGACCCCGAGACACATCCCCCAACTCTGAGACTTCCACATCTACTACTCACAGTGTCTGTGGTGAGGAAACTGGACCTTAACCACCCTGGCCCCTGGCCCATGTCCAGAGCCCTTTGTGAGGGCGGATGGGGGCGTGTATGTCTGCCGACCCTGAGGGCCTCTTGAGCTCTCAGGAGACTCATGGTGTAGCAGGAACACAGATAGTGGCATAAAAAATAACCTTGAGCTTTCCCTGAATCCCAAACCTATTCCCCACCCCCTTCCCTTTCATGGACCCAGCCCATTTCCTATCTCACAGGTGGATTCTCCGAGACCTACGCTGCCCTGTGTGACTACAATGGCCTGCACTGCCGTGAGGAGGTGCAATGGGTGCGTTGGGCTGGGTCCCAGTAGGTGGGCAGTGGGACCCAGAGGGAGGGGGTAGAGGAGGAGGAGGGGAGCAGGTGTGAGCCAGCTCCACCTCTCCAAGGATGTGGACACCATCTACCATGCTGAGGATAACCGGGAGTTCAATCTTTTGGATTTCAGCCACTTGGAGAGCCGGTAAGCAGATGGGCAGAGACTCCACACTCTAATTCCCAGTCTCAGCCCTACCCCTGGCCCTTCCCAGGATTCCCTTCTGGTCCCACCCACACCCACAGCTCTACCTCCCTGACCCTATGCTCCATTGCCACCTACCCATCCATTCTTTCCCCAGCCTGACCACCCCATCCCATTCCTGTCCAGCCACCTGCTCACCAGTTGCCTGCCCACTTCAATCTCTCCACAGGGACTTGGCCTTAATGGTGGCAGCCTTGGCCTACAACCAGTGGTTCACCAAACTCTACTGCAAGGACCTACGGCTGGTAGGGACTAGGAGGGACCAGAGGAGTGGGGTGGAGAGTAGTGCCCTTCCTAGCTCCTGATTGCAGGTCCCCCTCTATCCTCAGGGCTCTGAAGTGCTAGAACAGGTGCTACATACTCTGAGCAAGTCGGGGAGCCTTGAAGAGCTGGTGCTGGACAACGCTGGGCTTAAGACGTGAGGCCAGCCTCCTCCTTGGGCAGTGATGTCCCCTAGATAGTCTTAGGGTTCCAAACCTCAGAGCATGATGGGCCTCTGGACTATCTCTTTCAGCTCCTC